CAGCCATGTGGATGAGTCACGACACTTGCTTGGCCAATGTGCTCTATGTGAAAGCCTGAGAGAATGTTTTCTCTCCATGTGACTCTCCTTAGGCATACTCTACATCATTGATCACTTTCCTTTTTGGCCCCATAATCTTCTTGATCAGAAAATTTGGGAAACTACTGAATTACATGACGTTACAGTACAGGTTCATATATGTCCTGAGTCTTAATTGACCTTAGAAAACTAGGGCCAAAATGTTGGCTTTCTTTGCAGCCCTCCTTTTACTCTAACTTTGGTGTACAATCTTAGGTTGTTAACCATCCAGAAGACAAGCTTATTTTTACTGCCATACAACTTAGGCTGTTAAGCTTGACCTCGCTATCTGTCTGCATATCAAATATCTTAGGCACAGTATGGAACAGGTATTTTTCCTTGAGTATTGATATGTTTAACTTTAAGTCCCTACAGAATATGATAAAAACATTGAAAAATTAGGATATATTTTAAAAATAGGCATAAAGGATTATATACTTCTTATGTTTACACATAAATCCAAAAAATCTCACCATATACAACCTTGAAGCAAGACAGTCCCACATTATTTCATTTTCTGTCTCTTGCTTTCATGCATCACCCCCTTCTTCAACAGCCACCTACCTGACAGACATCATAGCAGCAACTGTCATGTCATGACTGGCAGCCCATATTCAGAAGACCAGAAATGACAGGCACTCCAAGCATGAAACGACTTTTACAAATTACCATCTGCAGTACAGTAGCTCAATTCAGAGGTATCAGTATATATAGTTAGTCAGGTTGAGAATCTTTCCAATTTACAGTTAGATTAAATAATCTTCTGAAGATTCCTAGAATCATTGCCTTGTCCATCTTCTACATATAACTGTATGGCTTGACTTATTCATGTTTCCTAGCTCTTCTCCATTCCCTCTCTTGGTTAGTTAGTTCTTGAGACCCTGCTTTCCTTTTACTTGTATTATACCTATCTATTTGTATTTCTTCTTTTGAGATCTTATACAAAGGAGACTACATGATATTTACACATGTGTGTCTGGTTTATTTCACTTATGAGTATATGTTCAAGTGGCATCCACTTCAATATAAAGGCTTTGAGTTTATCATTCTTAATAGCTGAGTAATATTCCATTGTGTAAAAATATCACATCTTTTTCAACCATTCTGCAGGTGATGGGCATCTTGGTTGTTTCCAAGATTTGGCTATCACAAATGTGCTGCTATAAACATAGGCACACATATATCATTATGATATGAAGTTTTCAGATCGTCTGCGAAAATTATCAGTAGAGGAATAGCTGGTTTAAATGGAATTTGCAGTCCAACTTTTCTAAGGAGTCTCCATACTGAATTCCATAATGGTTACACTAGTCTACGTTCCCACCAGCTGTGTAGAAGGGTTTCTTTTCCCCCACAGCCTCTCCAACATTGGTTGTTGAGTGATTTTTTTTATGATAGCCATCCTGTCTGGGGTGAGACGATATCTCAATGTTGTTTTAATTTGAATTTTGTGGATGGCTAGTGATATGGAGCATTTTTTCATATATTTATTCGCTTCTTTAATTTCTTCTTCTGAGAAGTGTGTGTTCATCTTGGATGCCCATTTCTGGATTGGGTCTTTAAATTTTGGGTCCCTAATAATTTTTAGTTCTTTATAGATTCTAGACAGCTGACCATTGTCTGAGTACTTATTTGTCATGATTTTTTCCAAATTTGTGCGTTGCCTTTTCACTTTGTTGGTAATTTCTTTTGACGTGAAAAAAGTTCTCAGTAAGAGCAGGTCCCCCAGTTGTTAATTCTTACCCCTATTTCCCATGCGATTTGATTCCTGTCCATGAACTCTTTGCCTACCCCATGTCTTCAAGAGTTCCTCCCACTTTCTCTTCCAGGAGACTTAGTGTCTCTGCCTTAATGTTTAGATCTTTAGCCATTTTCACTTTAGTTTAGTGTATGGTGATAGACCTGGGTCAAGTTTGAGTTTTTGGCATGTAGAGAGCCAGTTTTTCCAGCACCATTTGTTAAAGAGGCTATCTTTTGTCCAGTGAGTATGTTTGGCCCCTTTGTCAAAGATAAGG